CCTAAAGAGTCCAAGAGTTCTGTTAGTAATGCTGACACTAAAAGGTTTCTGGTTAAAGATTTTCCTGGAGGCTACTAGAGCTCTCAGACTCACATAACCACTGCACAACCAGAGGCCCTTGGAAAGATACACAGACACTGAGAAAACAAGCTCAGGGCTATTACAGAATCAGTAGAAATACTTTCAATGTTTCTCCCAGTTGGTCCTGCCTCAGGTCCGACTTCACAGAGACTGGACCAGCTCTTCCAGTCTTCCCAGTGGTCATCCCTAGGAAGCCCCAGAAGCAAATGTAGCACTTTGGTAAGTAGGGTGCTGAGAGCCTGTGTCCATTTGGGACTGGATATAAAATAGGGACACTAGAGAATCCCTAGATGGTGTAAAGAGTTAATATGTTCAAACCCACCAGCCACTCCTCAGAAGGAAGGTTGGGCAATCAACTTCCATAGTGATACTGCCTCGGAAACCCAAGGAGGAGTTGCTGAGTCAGGTATGACTCAATGGCACATAACAACAACAACTAACTGAAAAGTCTGAGGTGCCATGGAAGAAAGACCTGGAGGTCTTCTAAAAAATTGACCATTGAAAACCCTGTGGAGCACAGTTCTATTCTGATATACATGGGGCTGCCTTGGGTTGGACTGACTCCATAGGAACTGATTGTTGTTGTTGTTGTTTGCTGTCGAGTTGGACCTGACTCATAGTGACCCCTCCTTGGGTTTCTGAGGCAGTATCACTACAGAAGTAGATTGCCCCATCTTCCTTCCGAGGAGTGGCTGGTGGGTTTAAACAGCCAGCCTCCTGGTTAGCAGTCAAGTGCCTTAGGCACTAAAGAGGAGAGCTTGCAGAAACAGATCACAGCTGGGAGGGCTTCAGGCCACCAGCATGTTGGAAGCAGTGACCAGGCAGAAGTCAACTGCCGTAGAAGCAGGAGTGCTTTTCCTCTCTGTAACCCAGGCCTTTGTTTCTGCTCCCTCTTCAGCTGGTGCTGCCAGAATACTCCATCCATAGCCTCTTCTGCATCATGTTCCTGTGTGCACAGGAGTGGCTCACTCTGGGGCTGAATGTACCTCTACTTTTCTATCACTTCTGGAGGTAAGTCTCCTAGGGACTGGTCTGTCCTTCCCTTTTCTGCATGGGAAGTGCCCTCCAGAGACACTGTCCCCTAAATAGAGTGGCCACTAGGAGGCCTTCTGCTGTTTTGGGGACCCTCTCTCCAAAGCTCCCCTCTTAGGCAGCAAGAAATCCAATAGGGAAGGCCCCTTCTCACAGGCTGTCCTTAACCAGAGCCCCAGCCTTGTAGGTCACTGTTAAAAGCAGCTACCAGATGGACTTGATTTTCTGGGACAGTTATGATTTCAAATATTCTATTCCTTGCTATGACCATGTGTCAGATTGTGAGATTTGGGTTTTGCAAAATATAGTCACCATATGGATCAAGGAAGCAGGAGTGGGAATACAAAAGTAGTAAAAAATGTAGTTTCACAGATCAATTGTCCACGTTTTGCCCCTTGCGTCCTGACTTTTGGTCCCCTAAAATATTTCATTATTGTCATTTTACCATAAAATATAGCCTGGGTTTAACTACATCTGGAACATTCTTTCCTTCATTTAGCAAACATAGGATACATAGGACATGCCAGGCATTGTGGGAGATTCTGGGCTTTCTCTCAAGGTGTGTATAGCCTAGTGGTAGAGTAAAATACATTCTTAAAACATGGGAAAGAACATAGAGACAGCAGCAATTAGACTAGAAAGGGTGGCACTGGAAAATGTAGGGAACTACATTCCAGGTTGATGGACCAGCACATGCAACGGCCCAGAGGTAGGAAACCACATGGCATGCTTGGGGAACAGCCATTGTTTAGTGCAGTTGTATGGAAGGTGCTTAGAGGGAAGAAAAAAGAGATGGGGTTGACAAAACATCTAGGAACCAGATATGGAGGGCCTGAGACAATGTAATTGGGAAGTTGGCATTTATTCTGCAGGGAATGGAAAGCTATCCAAAACTTTTAAGGAGGAAATAGCATTTCCTGATCTGACTTTTAGGATAGTGATCCTGGCAACAGCGTGAAGGATGGGCTGGGGGTAAAATATTGAGGGTAGTGGAAGTTGAGTGGAGAGAACAAGAGACTCTGTAGAGGTGAACTGGACAGGACTTGGCCAATACTTGGGTATAGGAGGTGAGGGAGAGGGAGCCTCTAACCTGGGTGTCTGAGAGGGTGATGGTGCCATTGACCAAGAGCAGGAGAATAGGAGAAGTCATAGGTTTAAGGAAGAAGGAAAATGATTTTGATTACATGGCAAAGTTCCACTTTAAGTAAATGTAATCTGTTAAAATCTGAATTTAGAGAGGAGTCAAAAGAAGAATTAGGGAGTTGAAATGTATTGAGTCCCTCCTTGGGGACTTGCTATGCTTAATTTAGCCATTTTTCCCCTTATTTTACACATGAGACATAGAGATTTACAAACAAACAAACAAAAAAAATACAACTCACTGCCATCAAGTTGATTCTGACTCATAGTGGCCCCTGTTGGTTTCTGAGGTTATAAATCTTTACAGAAGTAGATTGTCCTATCTTCTTTATGCGGAGTGGCTGGTGGGTTTGAACCACTGATCTCTGGTTAGCAGCCAAATGCCTTATCTAGTTTGCCACCAGACCTCCTTAGAGACTCACAAAGGTGAAGTAATCACCCAGAGCTGCTTGGCTACTAAACCCTGCAACTGCCTGAATCCAAAATCCATGCCCTCACCCCTGCACATGCTCCCCAGAGGGTTGGCTCTTCCCCCTATGGAAGGAATTTATCTCAATATTCTTTTAAGTAATGGGCTCTCAATCCAGATTATCAAAAATGTGGTTAATATACAAAGCTTTGCTTTGTTCACTGCATCTTGGGGTTGTCATGTGTCCAGAAAGGGACTCGAGACCAGCCAACCAGTGTCCTTACTATAGGAATGCATATGTTTAAAGATACAAAGGGACCATTGGAATCTCCTTTGCAGTAAGGACTTTCCTTTTCTTTTAATCCCTGTCAGGATTTACCCTAAGTCCTCACAATTAGTAAGAGCTCAGAAAATGAAAGAAAAAAGAATGAGGAGGAGAGGAGTCCGTTAGAAATCAGAGTCCTTGAACACCCTCTTTCCTCAGTTTGCCCTTCCCCCTTGCCATCCAACAGGTCCAGCCCGTGAAGTTTCTCATATAGACAAATCCCTACTGCTCTACCTTTCCATTTGCTACCATTTGTTCAGTGCTTGTTCTTTGCTAAGTTCCTAATATTTAGTCCTCATAGCAGCCCTAGGAGGTAGGTAGTTTTCATGCCTGTTTTACAGATGGGAAAGGTGAGGTTCATGACTGACCCAAGAAAGGTTCCATGACTGGTTAGTGGCAGAGCCCCAGCTCTCTCCACTGAGCTACTTGTCTATCCTGCCCATCTGCCTCCACTTAATGAGGTCAGCTGGAACAAGGCCACAGTGAAGGCAAATCATTTTTGAAATCTGCTCCCAGGAAGAGGGGAGGTGAGTGGCCTGGAGGGCTATGAGCTGGCAGATATCATTGAATCTGGCTTGTGATTTCCTCTCAGCATAATGTCGGTGACAGATAATGTCAGTGCAATCCTCTGAACAGGAAGAAAGAGGGAAAGGAAATATCAAGTCCGTGAGTTGCTAAGTTACAGGGATATTCTTCAAAGCCAGTGTGATTAACCTCCTGATTAGAGCCGACTCTCCTGCTCCTTGCTCACCACTGAGAACCACAGCCTGTCACAGAGCCTTGCTGGACCCACTAATTTCCACTGCTGGCACCCTGATGCCTTTAGCAGGGTGACTCAAAAGCTGAATGATTTCAACTCCACTTTGTTCTTTGGCTCCAGAGGAGACTGTGGTAGAGGCCCTACGGCAGGATCCTGCCCACAGCCCGAGGAGGGGGTCCTGAGGGCAACAGCCACCTACACAGGACCTGGAGATCCACCTGGGTTCACGAGGTTAAGGCCCTGGGCTCCACCCTGCTTGTGTCCCATCCCAAGTGGCCCAGGTCAACTCATGTTGAGCCTATGCAATTTTCTGAAGTAGGCAAAGCTCTAGCCTCTCTCCTGCCTCCTGTCTTCCACCCACTGTTTTTATCATTACCCACTTTTCCTCTGGGGCTGCTCTCTGCCTATGGAGCTATTCTGGGTCCTCCTATTAAAAAAGAAAATATCTGATAAACTGCTTCACATTCAAGTGGGAATATGATATCCATTCTTTAGTATTCAGAGTTTTAGCAGAGGGTCTGGGTAAAGGACCCTTAATCCAAATTACTTAATCCAAAGTAATTTAAGTTTTAAGGTAGAATTGTAGGTACAGTGGCATCTAAGTGGTGAAGATGTAGCTTACACCTACACCTATATCGGTACCTATACCCATGGCTGTACACACTGCTGAACCCCAAAGCCCTGAGGGGAAAGGAGGCTCTTCCTGGTACCACTCAGATAACACCAGGCAACACATTTTTCCTTCCATTAGAGCAGCTTTATATGTGGGCTAAATGACCACGAGCCAATGGGTTCGAGTATTTGATGAGTTACTACCTATTTGTTGTTATGTGCCGTCAAGTCGAACCTGACTCATAGAGACCCCTCCTTGGGTTTCCGAGGCAGTATCACTATGGTTGTAGATTGCCCATTCTTCCTTCCAAGGAGTGGCTTGTGGGTTTGAACCGCCAGCCTTCTGGTTAGCAGTCAAGTGCCTTAGGTACTGTGCTACTACCTATTTAGATGGTGATTAAGGAGTTCTGGTAGTGTAGGTCTAAGGCACTTGACTGCTAACCAGAAGGCTGGTGGTTCAAACCCACCAACTCCTCAGAAGGAAGGTTGGGCAATCTACTTCCGTAGTGATACTACCTCAGAAACCCAAGGAGGGGTTGCTATGAGTCAGATCTGACTCGAAGGCAGTGAGTTTGGTGGTGCAGGGCCTAAAGCATTTGACTGCTAACTCAAAGGTTGGTGGTTCAAACCCCCCTTCGGCAGAAGGAAGATGAGGCAATATATTTCCGTAAAGATTTACCACCTTGGAAACCCAATGGGGGTCGCTATGAGTTGGAATCAACTCGATGGCAGTGGGAGTTTTTTTGTTTTGTTTAGATAGTAGTAAGGGCTGAGCTATTTTTTGGTGTCACCTAAACTGTGATCCCAGCAGATGACAAAAACTGCTTAGCATAGGTCCCTTGGAGAAAAGTCTTGTATCAGGAGGGCTTGGCCCAACCACTTTGAAAGCCCCTTTCCAGTTTCATTGCCAGTGGTGCCTGTCCTCTTTCCCCACAGGTATTTCCATTGTCCAGCAGATAGTTCGGAGCTAGCCTACGACCCGCCGGTGGTCATGAACGCAGACACCTTGAGTTACTGTCAGAAGGAGGCCTGGTGCAAACTGGCCTTCTATCTCCTCTCCTTCTTCTACTATCTTTACTGGTGAGTTTTTGCGCCTCCTGGTGGGTTTGATGCCTGCAGCAAATGGAAGGGAATTTCAGGCCAACCTGGTGGCCTTTGAGCGGTGGCTTATGAGGGTGGGAGTCATAGCCTATTGGGTATAACCCCAGCCATGTGACCTTAGCTCAGATAAGGGCTTCTGGGGCTTCTGTATTAACTAGGAAGAGGGGTAAAAGGTCCTACAGGAGGCCCTGCCTGCTGATAGGCATGGCTTAGGGCCATGCAGTGAAAACATACTCTACTACCTTCTCCTTTGTAAAGTGATGTTGGTTACTCCTTCTCAAAAGAACCTTCAGTCTGTAGCAACTCTGCATCTCAGCCATTAGATTACCTGTGGCCCCAGATGCAAAGCCTGGTCAACCCTTGCCCACTAATCTGCTTGTAAGCAATCTTGGGTACCACGATAGAAACCCCTAGTGGTGATCACACTTCACAAATGGCATGTTGGGTCATTAAATGCTTACACTAACAATTTTTCCAGTGCTACATAAAATCATTCTAATTAGGTAAAACATGATGATTTTGCAATTCCATTTCAGGAATCTCCCCTCTTTTCACCTCTACTCAGAACATCCTAGCTAAGCACATAGCTAGAAACAGACTATCTTGTGATTTGATACCCCAGAGAGTGCCTTGTTTTAAACAACCCCTCCTCCTTCCTGTTCCTCTTTGGGCTCATGTCTGGGTCCTCTCATTTGTCACTTTGCTACCTGTGGCAAGGCCCTGGATATGTCCAGATATCCCAGTACTGTCTCCAGAGTGTCATGGTTGACAACAGCCAGGTGAAGTGAGGAAGGTAGGAGTGTTAGATTCCAAGGCCACTCCAAGGTTTAGGTTGGGCTGTGGCAGGCTGGGGAGTGGCTACATTTGTCTAACATTTAAAAATGAGCCAGGAGGAGTTCTGAGGGTGCAGTAGCTAAGGCATTCAGCTACTAACCAAAGGGTCAGCAGTTCAAGGCCCCCAGTCACTCCTCAGGGGAAAGATGAGGCAGTTTGCTTCTGTAAAGATTGATAGCCTTGGAAGCCCCGCTGGGTCATTATGAATTGGAATCGACATGATTGCAGTGTGTTTGGTTTTGATTTTGGTTGAACTAAGAAGGGCATTATATGTATAGTTCATTTTATGAGATAAATGCTATCATTACCCACATTTTTAAAATGAGGAAACTGAAGCTCAGACATTAGATAATTTCCCCAAGGTCACAGCTACTAACGTGTCACCGCTATAAGTCCATCTCAAGTTGGATTCCAAAAACTGAACTCTAAGCTGTAGGCTGCCTTAGTCAGCCTCTAGAACAGTGTTTATCAAATTATGGTCTTTGGATCACTTCCATCAGAATCATGGAACAAGAAACATGCACTTAAAAATGCAGATTCCTGAGCTTAGGTCTACTGATTTGGAATTTCTCAAGCTGAGAGTATACATTTTAAATGAGCTTCTCAGAGGATTCTGATACACACCCAAACTTAGGACCTGCTGGTCTAGAGGTGTCTGTTTGTTTCTACTTCCCCTCCAAGTGTCCCCACACACTCAGAGGCCCCTGGGGGTGTAACTGCCCATGGAGTAACTCAGAGCCTGGAGGGGATTCAATATCATTCTACCACATCCTTCCTAGAGTTGAAGGTTGGTCCAGGCTTAGGGTCACCCTGTCCTTGTTTCCTCCTTGCACATCTAACTGGGATGATATCTGCTCCAATTTGCAAGGAGCTTGAGGATCTTTGAAGTCTCTGGAGATTTCTAAGGTACCTGGCAGCTTCATCCAAGTCCCTCTCACTCTAAGTCTGAGCTCTTTAATTCCCTAAAGCCCACTCAGGCTGGTTCTGTCTTGGGAAACTTATAACCAGTTGCTGTTAAATTGATCATGACTCATGACAACCCCATATGTGTCAGAGTAGAACTGCTCCATAGGGTTTTTTAATGGCTGATTTTTCAGAAGTAGGTCGCCAGGCCTTTTTTCCAAGGTATTTCTAGATTTACTTGAACCTCCAACCTTCCAGTTAGCAGTTAAGTGTGTTAACCATTTGCACCACCCACAGACTCCTGAGAAACCTGTAGAGATAGGAAAAGCCCCTGTGGGTTTAGGGAATTGACACCTTGGGTTAATGTGGTGAGGAGGTTCTTCCCTAGAGTCTGCTAAACCTCATTTTCTTTGTGAGGCTGCAGACTACCCCTGCTGCAGAGAGGTACAGATTGAGTGACCTGTTCCCAAAGCCAACAGAACAAGGCCAGAACTTTCCCTGGCTCCTGCCCACTAGCCTGGGGGGTTTCTATACACCTTATCACTGAGGGAGGCTGGCATAGGGACCTACTTCCTCACTTTACTTTTAATGCAGTAACTGCTGGAACCCAAGACATTTTGGGGAAGAAGCCATATGAATTTACCAACAGAAAGCACAGTGGCTCTTTGTCTGCTTGGCTGAGGTGGGAGGGGGTGGCATGGGGTGGTGTTGGCAGCCGAAGGTGGATGAGTGTGACCAGTCTGTAACTGATTATGTTCCACATTTTCTGTTTGACTGTCCTCTGTCCATTAGTTCACTTTGACACTGCACTTACATAAATTTGTTCATTATTTTGTTTCCAAAACAAAATGGGAAATAATGGCTTCCCTGCCTCACTGGAACCCTGGGTGGCAGCCAGAGGACATCTGTATTCTTGGTTGAACCTGACCTGTTGGCCCTCATCAGGGCTCCTCAAAGATCCTGTTTCTCCCACCTCAGGAATTCCCAGTCCCTCAGAATGAAGGACTGTCAGCCCAGGCCACTCTTGTTGGAAAAGAAGAGGATTGATGTGTATTGATTGAGTGATGCACCTGAGCTGAGCACAGTGCTAGAGGAATACATGTTACAGCAGCTGAGAATCCTGGAGAGGGGTGGTAGGGTTTCACATTTTGGGGTTATTGACAAGTTCCTGCAAAACTAAGAGAGGTTAAGGTTCTAGGTAATGATTTGCAATTTATCTGTCTTCAACGCCTGTGCTCTTTCCACTATGCTCTGCTAACCATATTGGCACCCAGTGCCACTGCCTTCTTAGTTTACCTTGTGGACCAGGAGGTGTTTGTAGGTTATGTGGGATAGGTGATAGCTAAGTCCAGTGTGAATGTAGCCTACCTGCTCAGAATAAAGATCTTTTCAAACCTGAAGTGTTAAAGCAGACCTGCATCAGCTACCTAAGGTAGTACCACCCTCTTGCCCGGTCTGGATCATACATGTCCCTCCTCATGTTTATTTCCTTTGTACCATTTACCACAATATATGCTTAAAGTAACACAGCAGTGGTGGTTTGGTGATGGAATTCTTGCCTTGCATATGAGAGATCCAGGTTTGATTCCCTGCCAAAGCACCTCATGGACATCTACCACCCCTCTGTCAGTGGAGGTTTGTGTGTTGCTATGATGCTGAGCAGGTTTCAGCCAAGCTTCTAGATCAAGATGGACTGGGAAGAAAGGTCTGGTAGTCTACTTCTGAAAATTAGTCAATGAAAACCTTATGGGTTACAGTGGTCCCATCAACAACCAATCATGGGGATGCCACAAGACTGGGCAGTGTTTTCGTTCCACTGTGCATGGGGTCTCCATGAGTCAGAGCCAACTCAGCAGCAGCTGACAACAACACACTTATTTATGTATTCACTTGTCCTTGATGACAGAGATCTCATTTGTTTTTATTCAATTCTGTGTCTGCAGAGCCCTGGTCAATGCCTGACACATAGTAGGTGCTCACTAAATCCTCATCATTTGTGGTTACAGCTTGACTGTTCACTCCCTCAAGGCAGAGAGTGTGGCTGCACACTCACCACTGTTTCTTAGCACCTAGAATGGTGCCTACCATGCAGTAGGTGCTCAATAAATACTTGAAAGAAGGAATAAACAAAAGTCAGTAAACAAAGGCATCAGCAAAAGGCCTCAGTATTACAACAGAAAGAGTCCTGTTTTTATTATTTATTTATTTATTTT